ATTCAAATGCCTCCATATACTCCATACCTAGACACATCCTCTCAAGATCTCATCTCTTTATATACAGTTTATTAACAGTCATTAGCACTGCAGGGGGTTTCTGATTAGCTGGTTTAAAGATCCCTTTGATGCTACATCAATTAAAATCTGTTGTATACATCCTCTATCTAGAGGCAGTTAACCAATCCGGTTTCTTTTGAAGAAAACTCTATACAGCTGTCTCCATTGTGTACAATCAAACAATGTTTTAGGACCCTGAAAGCATTTGTAGCCACCCGGTCACCACTGGAGGGTTGGTAAGTGCTTTTGGGTCAGCAACACTATTGTAAATCCTAGACAGGCTAGGAGGGACCATTCTATTCAGCGGCTCCTTCGACGGTGAGGGCTACACATTCTTATCACAGGCCCAGGTGGTCAGGAAGTTAATCATAGTAAAGATCTAGTTATAATAAGACTTGGGTATCTTAAAGTGTATTTCCACTTTTGCAGCCAAATTGGGATAAAATCTATTTTATATTTGTTATATTGTTAGTGTAATGTCAAGGAGGGGGTTGTGGAAAGTTATCTTTACTCTAATTATCCCTATCTGCACTGATTTTATTATCAATTGTAAACTATATTTGAACACTAACAAAGGGTTAAAGATCTAGAAGCAGTGTGTTTAGCACACAGGAAGAAGAAGCAGCTCAGTCTGTCCCTCAGTTTGTTCCTCTACTTTTACTTCCAAACTGCAAAGCATAACATGCAATCTGCACAAATAATCAAAAGAACAAAAGAGGGCGCAAAAAACACTGGCTAGCTAAAGAAGGCATAACGGAAACTCAAGGTGGTGGCACTTACGCGTGAATCCCAGGATCCGGAGATGGGCAGCCAATATGGAGGATCGGAACACTCGTGGTGTGTGTCCGACTATGGCTGGTGTGCTACTCAGAGAAGTACATCCACAGAAGGTTGTGAGCAAGAAGAGGGGACTTCGTCCGAAGTGCCGTTAGGGATATGTGCGGTGTAGAGGAGAAGCAGGGAGATCCCTGTAGTGTCGGCAATAGACAGGGCTGTTGCAGCCGCAGCTGTGGGTGTCAGCAAACGGTCACTGTCAGGTCTCCTGGGGACAGTGTACCGGAGTCTGTGTGCGGGAGCAGCTGACAGATGCCGAATGGTCAGCTCACTGGTGAGATAGAGAGGGATCAGGGAGGACAAGAGCGACGCGTTTCGAGGTACTACCTCTTTTTCAAGCTCGGGTAAAACGGTCTGCACAAATACATTCACTAATGAAACATGTAAAAAGGTAAGAAATTTTTTTTATTATTTTTAGGTATGCAGTGTGAATGGGAACACGTAAACAACATGTTTTGGGGTTTTCTCAAATTAGACTGACAAAAGTGGAAATGCCTTAAAAAAAAAAAAAATCATCCAAAGGAATCCTTGCCACCAGATGAACATACATCCACATACACCCCAAATATAATGTATCTTGAACACATACAACCCCAATTCAAAAAAAGTTGGGACGCTGTGTAAAATCTTCATAAACACAGATTGCAATAATTTGTAAATCTCATAAACCCATATTTCATTCACAATAGAAAACATATCAAATGTTTAAAATCAGAAAATTTACCATTTTAAGAGAAAAATAAGGTCATTTTGAAATTGATGGCAGCAACACTTCTAAAAAAAAAAAGTTGGGAAACGGCAACTGGCAAAGTAAGTGGTACTAACAAGGAAGTGGTATTAACAGTTGGCAAAGTAAGTGGTACTAACATGGAAGAGCTGGAAGAACATTTTGCAACTAATTAGGTTAATTGGCAACAGGTCAGTAACATAATTCGGTATAAAAAGAGCATCTTAGAGAGTCAGTGGCATGGGAGCCAGGAAACCAGACCACACGGAAACACAGGTAAATTAAAGTCATTTATTTAAAGGAACATAAATAAACATTCATCAGGGGGCAGCTAGGTCAGGAACAAGCTGGTCAAGTCCAATGCAGGTAAATCTGCCAAGCGGATAGTCGTCCAAGCTGGGGTCAAGTCCAAGGCGGGTACGTCTGCCGATGCGGGGTCGAGAGCCAGAGGAAACGTCAGCCAGGCCGGATCATACACAGAAACACACAAAGGAACTCAGACCGCCAGAGATGCACCTTGGAGCACAAACGCAAGGGCAATGAACCTGAATCCTGAGCAGACTGATATAGTCAGGTGGTGCCACATCATCACTGTGCGATGCCCAGGCAGCAGGCAAGCGATGATGCAATCAGAGGATATAAGAGACTGCAGTCTGCACATGTCCAAAATGGCTGCCACCATGAGGACAAGGTAAGACTTTGACAGTCAGAGTGTCTTAGAGGTAAAGAGGTTCATCAATCTGTCAAAAGCTGCATCTAAAAATTGTCAATTTCAGAACAATGTTCCTCAATGTAAAATTGCAAAGACAAATACAAATACCCATAACTTACAAGAAAAGCTTCCGAAAATGTTTACCTCCAGCTCTTTGCAGACTGGGAAATACAGAGTGCCAATTATATGAGCAGGGAATAAGCTTTCTAAAGCATTTTGCCATGATTGGAAGCGAGCACATCTTCAGTTATTTGTCTATTTTAGAAATCCATTGTTCTGCCTTGTCTTCTGTTTCTTAACTGGCACTACAATGCTCAGTGTTCACTGGACACTAGAGGAAGCATTGGATTACTCCCTCTGTATCTAGGCCTATCTATTAACTGCTAGGCCCAAACACTGTTAATTGGGAGGGGTTCACATGTTCCCCCTTCATGTTGACACCCTAGCTTTCTTACTGTGTGTTGCGAAGATATAGTAGCTGGCAGAGAAAACAACACCAGAAGCACTTCTATAAGTGTTGAATGCTGAACATTATTCAGCAAACTTGGATCTTTAATGCAGTGGAGCTTAGTGGCACAGGGAGTGGGACAGGTAATTATTAACTGTTGTTTTTGCAGAAATGTTTTAATTATTTTTTTCAAAATAACCATTTGAAAAGGAGACCAGAGCTCCATCTGGTGTCTGATGCAAAAAAAATAATTTGTTTTTCTCTTACGTTCATTGAAGGACATAGCATCGATCTTGAATCTCAGGCCATATTGCTGGCTTCAGGATTAGGACACTATGCAACAAACAAAAGCACAGCCTAGAGGCAGCCCCCAATGGTGGCTAAACCCCCGTTGGTGGCAGGAAGCTCAGTTTTGTGTCTATCGTCGAGGAGTCATTAACTAAGCTACCTGCTTGTACCTTAGTTCTTTTTCCTTTTCTTTTTCTTCAGTCTGCAAAACCTTTAATCAACAAGCTGATCTGGGTGACAAGCTGGATAATATAGATCTTTGCAACCCCCCCATGCTCAGCCATCAAATACATGTCAATCCTTAGCTATGGTGGGTTTAGCTGCAAAAGCTCTATCCTGGACTGGAG